GGGCCGGGCTGGGCCGCCGCAGCTGCTGCCGAGGACTCAGCTGCTCCGGCCACCAGGCCCGACACTGCCCGGCCCTGGATCGCCGGCGCCTGCGCACCCTCACCAGCTCCTACTTTCCAGTCACAGGGCTTCAGGTCAGAGCCTGGGCGCTGTCCCGCAGCTCTCTCCAGGGCCAGCGCTCTACCGCATTGAGCCACAGCACCACCTGCGGTTTTTGAGTGATTAGCTGGATATTAGAATCTCACAGGGGTTTTACTGCCTGGGCTGGCTTTGAACCCTGATCCTCAGATCTCAGCCTCCTGAGTCGCTGGGATGACAGGCGTGAGCGCCGGCGCCTGGCTCCATACCGGCTCCTTGCTGTGCTGTTTCCTAGTCTCAGTTTAGAATTGCTTGCTTTCTGAACGGAAATACTGGCAGCTTAACCTGAGGTGCATGTGTGTGTGTATGTGGGGGGAGGGATCTCTGCTCCCACCCCCGGAAACGGGGGGGGGGGAGAGCCAGCTGCTTGCTCCCTGGCCCCAGATTGGGGGGGGGGCTCCCAGGTGAACCTCCCCATCAGGAAAAGGTATCAGGAAAAGGAGAACTGAACACACCCACCCCAGAGGCTTCTGGCTCAGTGGGGTGGAGAAGTAGAGCAGTGGTTGGGTAACGTGAAGGTGGTGTGTGTGTGAAGGTGGTGTGTGTGTGAAGGTGGTGTGTGTGTGCGGTCTGGGCGCCCAGGGCGGGTCCCGTTGGAAGGCTGTCCCAGGACTGAGACACACTGGGCACAGCATTAACTCCTTTCACCTGTGTGCCCACGCTGCTGCTGCGCCATGAGCGTAGGTTGCCACTACTGTGTGCTTGGCGCTCTGTGGTAGGTGCTTATTTTAGATACTGTGTGCTAGGTGCTATGTGGTGTGCGCTGTGTGCTAGGTACTGGCCTGCTGTGAAGTAAGGCCAACACAAAGATGGCTTTTGGGGAAGGGCTGTGTGTGGTTCAGCTGTGAACGGCGATCTGGGAAGCAGAGCTGGGAGAGAGCTGCCAAGCACAAGGCAGTAGCATGCGAGCTGGGTTTTGAAGCACGAGTAGGAGTTGGGGAGGGGCTGGGGGAAGGAAAGGCATTTGTGGCAGAGGAAACAGGAGGCCTTGGGGAAATGCTGGCAGCCCGGGACCACAGTGGAATGTGGGAAGAGGAAGGGCCCGAGGGTCAAGTGGCCTTGCGGCTCAAGCCAGAGCTCAGTTGCGTCCCGGAGCAGCGGGGGTCTGGGATCGGGTTGGGGGGGGCGGTCTCACCCCCTCGCCAGCCGATGGGGCAGCCAGCACCCGGGGCGGAGAGCCGGGCGGTCCGTCCTGGTGTCCCCAGAGGGAGCCCAGGGCAGCACGAAGCGCAGGTCCTTCTCAGAGTCCGGCCGGCTGGGCCGTGGTCCGCGTCCAAAGCAAACAGGAAGAGCCGGCGGTGGGCCGGGCAGGCCTCGCTCTTTGTTTGGAGACAGATTAGGCCACGCAGACTTGTGGGTCCTTGTGCCGCAGCGGTGGAGGGCCCTCGGCCCGGCGTGGAGGGGACCGGAGCCGCTCCTCCGTCTCCTGGCTGTGCCAGCTGGGGGGTCCGGGCCCTGGCTTCTCAGGGTGCTCCTTGGCCAGTAGGTGGGGTCGGGTTCTGGGGGCTTAGTTCCAGGGCTCCCCAAAAGACCCGTGCTCTCCCCCACGCTCCTCTTCCCCCACCCCAGTCCTTTGTGCAGTGGTTTAGCAAAACAAAACCCTAATTAAAGCAAGACAGCAAGGCGAAGGGGGGGCAGGGGCCTGGCTGAAGTGGACCCCTTCTCCACTCAAACAGTGGGCCGAGGGGAGGCCAGGGGGAGGAACGGGACCCAGGAACCGTCCAAAAGACCGCGAGGGAGCTGGGAGCTGGGGGTGTGTGTCTTGTTCCTGAGGAGCCCCTGGCCCCCTTTCCAGGATTCCTATGAGAACCAGCAATCAAGCACAGTTCTGACCCCCAGCCGGACCTGGCCTCCACCCTGCGCCGAGCGAGCGTGTCCCACCTCTCACTCCTGGGAAGTCCTTCCCCGAGTCTAGCCTCAATTCTGCTGCTACCACTGGCACCATCTCTGTTCCCAGGTGGAGCGATCCATGCTGCCTGGCTGCTTGCTCCCTCTCTCCCCCAGCCCTCAGCCTACAGCCCCCTCCTCATTCCTCCCGCCTCCTGCTTCCTGTAACCGGGCCCTATTTGCTTCCACCAGGCACACCACTTGGGAGCCGGAGCCGGGCAGAGCGGCCCCTGCCTGGCCGTGCTGGACCGTGACCTTCGCCTGTGCCAGCCCTGGTTAATTTTTGCCCAGGGTAACGGGAGCGGCGGCGCCCCTCCTCCTCCTCCTCCCGCATATAAGCCGGGGCTGCGGCTGCCCTGTCTCTCATCTCCCGCCCAGCCCCGCCATGGCCAAGGGCTTCTACATTTCCAAGTCCCTGGGCCTCCTGGGCCTGCTGCTGGGCGTGGCCGCGCTGTGCACCATCGTGGCGCTGTCGGTGGTGTACGCGCAGGAGAAGAACAAGAACAACGCGCAGGGCGCCCCGGGGCCCACGGCCCCCCCCACCGAGCCCGGGGCCACCACCCCGGACCTGAGCAAGCCCTGGAACCGGTACCGCCTGCCCGCCTCCCTGGTACCCGACTCCTACCGGGTGACCCTGAGGCCCTACCTCACCCCCAACAACCAGGGCCTGTACGTCTTCGTGGGCTCGAGCACCGTGCGCTTCACCTGCCTGGAAGCCACTGACCTCATCCTGATCCACAGCAAGAAGCTCAACTACACCCTGCAGCAGGGCCACCGCGTGCTGGTGCGGGCCGTGGACGGCTCTCCCAACCCCGCCATCGAGCGCACCGAGCTGGTGGAGCGCACCGAGTACCTGGTGGTGCACCTGAGGGAGCCGCTGAGGGCCGGCCGGCAGTACGAGATGGACAGCGTGTTCCAGGGGGAGCTGGCCGACGACCTGGCTGGCTTCTACCGCAGCGAGTACATGGAAGGGGACGTCAAGAAGTGAGTGGAAGGGTCTGAGCAACAGCAGCTCGGGGGGCGGAGCCGGGCCCTGAGTTCGAGCCCCGGGACCGGCCAAAGAAAGGAAAAGGAGTTTATGGGGATGAAGGCTGGAGGCTGAGCCGCAGCCGGGAGGTGGGGGACTTTGAACCTCTCCAGCTGGTGCCTGGTGGGTCCTTCCATCCACACCTGCCGTCACCAGCCGCCAGGGAGACAGGCTGGGAGTCGTGGCCAGCAGGCGCCCGTGGCAGGGGCTTTAGAAAGATGGTAGAGGCTCCGAGGGGAGCTGGGCCCGGGTCTCAGCCCATACAGGGGTGGGGAGGCTGGGGCCCCGGGCCTGGGTCTCTGAGAGATCTCGGAGAATGCCCCTGCCCCGCGTCTTCTGACGCTCTGGTCTGCACAGAGTCGTGGCCACCACGCAGATGCAGGCCGCGGACGCCCGCAAGTCCTTCCCCTGCTTCGACGAGCCCGCCATGAAGGCCACGTTCAACATCACCCTCATCCACCCCAAGGACTACGTGGCGCTGTCTAACATGCTGCCCAGAAGTGAGTGGCTGTGCCCCGGGGCCATGCGGCTGGGGGACGAGGGGGGTGGGGACAGGGGGGGCGAGGAGGGCTGGGGGGGGAACAGGGCGGGCGGGGGCACCCCAGGGCTGGGGAGCCTGGCAGCTCACCCGCCTGTCTGCCACCTGCCCAGTTCCCAGCTACTCCTACCCGGACGACGCTGCGTGGAGCGTCACAGAGTTCAACACCACCCCCAAGATGTCCACCTACCTGCTGGCCTACATCGTCAGCGAGTTCCACCACATACAGGCGCTCTCCCCCAACAACGTCTTGGTAGGGTGCTGGGCCACGGGGCTGGGGCTGCGGGTGGCTCCCCACATCCCTGCCTCTGCCCCGCAAACGGGAGGGGCGCTCTCCAGCTGCCGCCCTGCCGCTCGGCCCACTTTTGAGTTCCTAGAGGGCCTCTGGCCTCCAGGTCTGCATCCTCCTCCATGTCCGCCTCCACTCATCTTGTAGATCCGGATCTGGGCTCGGCCAAGCGCCATGGCCAAGGGCCACGGCGATTACGCCCTGAACGTGACCGGCCCCATCCTCAACTTCTTCGCCAACCACTACAACACCTCGTACCCCCTGGAAAAGTCTGGTGAGCGAGAGGCCGGAGGCCGGCGAGCAGGGGGGTGGTGAAAGGAGGGAAGGGGAGGGGGGCCCTGCCCGCGTGGGGCCTCCACGTCCAGGCCGAGCGGGCGCCCGCCAACGCCCGGCCTCCGCAGACCAGATCGGCCTGCCGGACTTCAACGCGGGCGCCATGGAGAACTGGGGGCTGGTGACGTACCGCGAGAATGCGCTGCTCTTCGACCCGCAGTCCTCGTCCATCGGGAACAAGGAGCGC